TAGCGTCAGCCGTCTCGCTTCCGCCCTTGCTCTTGAGTGGTACGGCCGACGCGTACTTGCTCAACACATCGATAACGGTGAGTATGTAGTGGTGGCCTCTGTTAAAGCTCGAGTATGGGCGCATCTCAACGATATCAGCCTGCCGCAGATCGTCGTATACCCGGACTATGACGCGCCTTCGCGGAAAATTTCTTCTCGCAGGAGCGTGCAATTCCTCGACGAGTCGACGTCTCTCGGAGCTAACTTTTCTGTTTTTATCGGAACTCTTTTTCATGATTCGACGCGTAATATACAAGAAAATAATGTATTTTTTCTCGCTGTTTTCACTCGACTGACTCGTTTCGTCGATACGCGATTTAATTTACAATAAGACCGGCTTCGCGGAGTTCCACGATGATCGACAGCATCTCGTTGTCGTGAGCGTTGTTGCCCGCTCGGTGTGAAGCGTCGAGCAATCGTAGACGATCCACCAGCTCGTTGGGATCGTCCCAGTGCACGTAATCGATCGCACTGTCGTTTAGCGTCATTGCGCGAGGTAATTCCTTTCCAGATTTCGTACTCTGTTTCTTGGGTGTCATCGACATCAACGGTGCAATTATGTGTTTGTACTTGTATACCCTGTTGCTCAATAATCGGCCCTGAGACTGATGCTTGTGTTTGTGCTCGTTCGTCGCCAGCAGCATGCTTTTGTACTTGTTCATATCGTCTTCCGTGTAGAGGAGATCGTCGGGAATTCTCTTGAAAATCAACTCGTAAAGACCGGGGGTACCGGCGTATCGTTCGCCGTCAATAATTATGTTGTCCGCGTCATCCACGTCGAAACGTTTATTGCCAAACGTCAATCCATCCCTATGTAGGTAAACGCCATACACATAATCGCCCTTCCGTTTATCTCCCCTCAGGACAACCTCGACGTACTTTTAGCTCAGCGGGCCCAAGCCGACTCGCAACGCCTCTCGACCTTCCGACGTTTGCAGCTGATTTTGAACCTTCGTTGCTAGCGAGTCAACTGTCGTTTCGAAAATGTTCTCCAACGACTCTATCGGTACTATTTTGGCGCGCGGGGTGGAGGTTATCGGTTCGTGTGATCGATCATCAAATTTACGCGGGGTCGCTAAACGCTCGAACGTCTCACTCGTTTCTTCTTCCTCTTGTTCCTCCTCCTCCTCCTCCTTTCTCTAACGTTTAGGGGCAGACGCTGTATCGTCGCGCGACTCTCTCGTTGTCGCGCGCTTTTCGGGGTTGCCAGCGAAAAGTCGCAGCGGCTCGATAAGAGGTTTAAAATGTCTATCCAACGCGATGCCCTCCTCGATTCTACCGGTCTTCAGAGCGCGATGTTTCTTGCGGATCGACTCGCTCGTCTTCTCGATCTCCCTCGCGATTTTTTCACGCTCGCGCACATCTGCATGTATGTCCGTGGCTAAGTATCGACAACGACTGATCGCGTTACGGTATCGCGAACTGGTTATATCCTTTTCTGTATCATATATTTGTGAGCGTCCTGTCTTTGTCTATCACTACGAATCCATATTTTTGTTGCCAACAGTCGCGGCACAGCGCGCAAAATTTGTCGTACGACATGTCGGTATTCACATGATCATTGTAAACGTGTTTCAAGTTGGTACCGTCCTGTTTGAACAGGATCAGGAGGTTCGCGTTGTCGCGTATCAGATGTTTAGGTATTCTCGCGTACGTCTGACAGAGATAGAAGCAGTCGATCCCAACGAAAAGTATTCTCTCACCGCATCCTGCTTGTCGCATGCCACGTCATCAAAGATAAAAATAGAATTTGGACGCGCCTCGCTCAGTCGAATGACGTCGCTGTTGTTGGGGAACGTAAAATAGCCGATTTCGTCGATAGACGTAAACAAATTTTCGAGATATCGATATTTTGGCTGTTGCAACGATTTCGAGTAGACGTTCACGTTCTCGAAACGTACGCCGTTCGGACTCTCGAGTAAGCTTATGAGAACGTTGGTTTTACCGCTATTCGACGGACCACAAATGATCGCGCGTATAGTACTCGGTAGCATTTCGCCATGCTTGCGCTTCTCCGCGCCGCCTCCCGTCATTCGTAATTTCACGTCGCAGTTCATGACGTGTATCACCAGCGGTTGCAGCACGAATTTCATGCTCGCACTACGAGCTGTGCGCTCTCGACCGCCTATTTAAAGGCGTGTGAATCCGCGAGTCGTGCAGTAATAAAATCTATCTCGCGCTGTGTCATCCTTCCGACATTCTGGATTTGAGCGCTGAGCAGTTACAGTATATACCGAAGGTCATACTGTTACGAGTGTACGGTGACTATATCGACAACGTGTGGAACAAGCTTCCGGAACACGTGAAGGTGGATTCGGAGGTTCGAACGTATCGTCGCTGCGACGAGCACTACAATCAGCCGTGGCAGCGAACGCACATCGACGGTCCGGCACCGAAGATAAAGGACTGTAGCGAATGTCAGCGTCGGGCGGCAGTCTGTTGAATCGAGCGATAAACGCGCTTCCTTTCGAGTTACATATCCCGGGCTAACAGTTTTGCGGTCCAGGCACTCGACTGACTAAGCGATTAGCCAGAGGTGATACGGGTATAAATCCGCTGGACGCGGTGTGTCTAGAACACGACATTGCGTATTCTCGGAGCACCGATCTCACCGATAGACACGCGGCGGACAAGGTACTCGCCGATAAAGCGCTAGGACGCGTCACCGCGAGAGATTCGGCTCTGAGCGAGAGAGCCGCCGCTGCTGCCGTTTGGACAGCGATGAAAACCAAGGCCAAGATCGGCATGGGCATGAAACCGAAGAAGAAGAAGACGACGAGGAAAAAGACAGCGAAAAAACGGATACTACCGACGGCGAAACGAGGCATCATATTACCGTTTCTGCCAATGTCGGGCGCGCTCGGATCTTTGATTGGAGGAGCGGCCGGCGTGGCTAAAGCGGTAAACGATAGCAAAACCGCGCAACGTCAGCTCCAGGAGCTGCAACGCCACGATCGCGCGATGGAACAGGGCCGCGGACTGTATCTCGTTCCGCACAAATACGGGCTCGGACTGTATCTCAACCCCTACAAACGTGGACAGGGCGTAGCAGCGAAGAAAAAAAATGTCAAAGAGACAAAAATGCCCGCGGGTGCGACTACCAACGTACAATTGGACATGCTTGCGAGACGTATGCGCGTACCGTATTTTAGAGGTGTTTTCATGCGTAACCGACGAGCGGCTCGCG